TACTCTATCATTTCTATTAATTCTGTAACTATCAACTATAAAGTATGGCTAGCATTCCTAAAATATAATCAAGATAGGCAATCTCATATTGTAGTGTTTCTCCTTGTCTCAGTGACAGCTAGATAGCTGTACAATTTTTCAGCAGCAACACTATATCTCCGTTCCATATGCAGTAGTTAAGAGGACCAGGCATATTAGAAAATAAAAGGAATAGAAGCCAATAAAAAAGAATATAAATTAAGGGCTTTTGCAGATGATTTGGTTGTTACTTTATCCCAACCAACTCATTCTGTAATGGAGCTGTTAGAATTGATATATCAGTATGGACAAGTTTCAGGTTTTAAAATTAATAATAATAAGACTAAAATATTGCTTAAAAACATGACCAATTTGGATAAGGAGATTTTAGTTAGATTGACAGATTTTGAGGTTGTTAATAAGGTAAAATATCTGGAGGTTATTTTATCTGCTTCCAATGCAAAATTATATAAAAATAATTATGAAAGGCTGTGGGTTAAAATACAAAAGGATTTGGAAAATTGGAAGAAGCTGCAATTATCCCTATTGGGGAGAATTGCAGTGATTAAAATGAATGTTTTGCCAAAGTTTCTCTTTTTATTTCAAATGATACCTATTTTAAAGAATGAGGTCAACTTAAATGAATGGCAGAAAAGTATCAATAAATTTATTTGGGCAGGGAAAAAACCAAGAGTAAAACTTAAAATTATACAAGATATTCGTGAGAGAGGTGGACTCAAGGTACCGAACTTGAAATTGTATTATGATGCTGTGGTGTTAACATTAATTAGTGATTGGGTTAACTTAACAAATGTAGATGTACTCCTCCTGGAGGGATGGGATTTACTTTTTGGATGGCATGCCTATTTAATTTTTAATAAAAAGTTTGATAGGGTTTTTAAGTCTCATATTTTAAGAACTTCCTTACTTTGGGTTTGGAAGAAATATTACAGAAGTGATTCTAGAATTCCATTATGGGCTATCCCATGGCATGCGATAGAAGGGATAAGGAGAGGAGTTAAGATGGATAGTATTTCTTATACACAATTACTTAGATGGGATGGTAAAAATTGGCAATTAAAATCTATGGAAGATTTAATACAAGAAAATATTATTTATTCATGGTTTCAGTATAGACAATTATTGGAAAGGTGGAAGATAGATTGCAAGGTGGGTTTGCTTAGAGAGGATGAGAATCTGTTAAAACAAATAAAAGATCAAAGACGAACCCATATGAAAAGAATTTATGGGGTGTTAGTGGAATTGGATTCAGAAGCAGAACTAGTTAAAGATTGTATGGTTAAATGGGCACAAAATTTTGATGAATCGGTTCCATTAGATACTTGGGAGATTATTTGGGTGAGGAATGTCAAATTTACACAAGCCCAAAACCTACGGGAGAACTTTTATAAAATGTTTTACAGATGGCACCTTGATCCACAAAAAATGTCTCGTATGTATTTAAACTTGCAGCCTAAATGGATGCTTGGATGCTTGGATGCCACTTATTATCATATTTGGTGGTTATGCAAAAATATAAAAGCTTTTTGGATTAAGATATGGTGGAATATTCAAAGAATTTTTAAAAGAAGGATAAAATTTACTCCACAATTGTTTTTGCTGGGTATTATTTCCGATTGTGATAGTAAAGAAACTATATTAATGTTAACTTTAACTAATGTTAAATTTAATTACAGCGGCTAGGTTGTTAGTAGGGCAATGTTGGAAGAAGGAATCTTTGCCTACTTTGCAAGAATGGTTTCTTAAAGTTTCTTACTTAGCGGAAATGGCAAAGATTTTGGCTTTCTTGAAAGATCAATCGCAAGAGAAGTACCTCTTGGTATGGAAAAGATGGATAAATTTTATACAATATAAGTATGATATAAAAAAATATTATTTAGTTTTGAATAATTTATATTTAAAGTTTAAGATATTTTTTAGATATTTTTCTTTTTTTAATTTCTTATTTTTTTTTCTCCTTTTTCTTGTTTCTTTTCTTTTTCTCTTTCTGCTTTCTAAATATTGGTGTTAAAGTATTTTATAATTTGTTTAATTATTGTAATCAAATTTGTATATGGTTTATTTGTGTTTAAAATTTTTTCTTTTAAATTTTAATTAAGCCTGTATTCAGCTCTGGGAAGGTTGGGGGAGGGTGGGTTGGGAGGGTTTGGGGAAGGGAACTTTTTTGTAAAATTCTAAAATTTTCAATAAAAAAAAATAAAAAAAGAGGACCAGGCATATTGCTCTCAATTCAAAAAGGCTGCCAATCATTATCACTCAGTTAGTTATAGCTCCACTATTGCTACAATTTCAAACAGATATCTTCTGTACAATTCAGCATTGTCTAGCTCTACAGATGGATCAGAATCATCCATCTGTACAGTTTATGTTCCACTCCACCTCTCAGAAGGAAAACAAGCTATACTTGCATATATGGGAGCACAATGTGAGACTTTGGCTATTATACCCTAGTAGCTCAGTATTAGCCTTTAGACTAGCCTATAGACTGGCAACAACTTAAGATATTCATGTTAGTTGATAAAATAATAGTTGAACTCTTAAATAGCAAGTTATTATTCTTTATTAGCCAAATGTGAATGGACACACAAGAAATTTGTATCCGGTGCATAATCTTTCAGTGTACATACAAGCAAAAATCATGATCATAATTATCATAAAAATACATTCATCATAAATCATAAAATACCATACTTTGTGATAGTCATAGAATAAAAAATAAGCAATCAACATAAATCATAATATGATACTAAATAAAACAATACAAATCATAAGATACACGCAACAAAGTTATAGTCATAAGAAGATAAGAAGATAGGTAATAGGGAAGATGAGAAGAATAATAGCAATACAGCCCTACTAGGTAGTTTGACTGTATTGTGGAAATTAGTTGTTTAGCAGAGTGATGGTATGGGAGGAGAACTGTCCTTGTGCTGCTCTGATGTGCAATGCCCTGTAGTGTCATCTTGAGGGAAGAAGCTGAAACAGTTTATGTCTGGGATGTGAGAGATCTGTAGATATTTTTACAGCCCTCTTTCTGGCTCGTGTAATATACAGGTCCTCAATGGAAGGCAGACTGGTAGCAATTGTTTTTCTGTAGGTCTAATTATCCATTAAAGTCTGTGTCTATCTTGTTTGGTTGCAGTGCCAAACCAGACAGTTAAAGAGATGCAAATGACAGACTCAATAATTCTTTTCTAGAACTGTATCAGCAGCTCTTTGGGCAGTCTGAACTTTCTGAGTTGGCACAGGAAGAACATTCTTTGTTGTGCTTTTTTGATGCCATTTTTGATGTTATATGTTCATTTTAAGTCTTGAGCTATTATAGAACCTAGAAACCTGAAACTCTCTACTGTTGATACTGTGTTGTCTAGTGTCAAAAGAGGTGGTAGAATAGGAGAGTTTCACCTAAAATCTACTATAATTTCTACAGTTTTGAGTGTGTTCAGTTCAAGATTGTTCTGACTGCACCACAAGGCTAGTTGTTCAACTTCCCATCTGTATGCAGATTTGTCTTTGTCTCAAATGAGACCAATCACTTTTGTATCATCTGCAAATGTTAGTACTTTAACAGAGGGATCCTTTGAGATGCAGTCATTGGTATAGGAGAGAAGTGGAAAAAGCACACAGTCCTGCGGGGGGGGGGATGCTAATTGTGCAAGTATCTGATGAGATTTTGTCTAGCTTCACCTGCTGTTTCCTATCTATTAGAAAGCTTATGATCCATTTACAAATATGGTCAGGCACGGCTAGCTGAATCAGTTCAGTTAGAAGAATGTCTGGAATAATGGAATTGAATGCTGAGCTGAAGTCTACAAAAAGGACCCTTGTATAGGTCGTTGGAAATTCAAGATGTTGTAGGAAGTAGTGCAAAGCCATATTAACAGCATCATCTGCCCATCTATTTCCTCTGTAGGCAAATTGCAAGGGGTCTAACAGCAGATCTGTGATGATTTCCAGGTGGGCCAGCACTAACCTTTAAAAGATTTACATAATTACAGATGTCAGAGCAACTGTTGTTCAGCTCCTTGATGGAGGGTTTCTTTGGCACTGGGATGATAGTAGAGCATATAAAGTAAGAAGCAACATAATATATCTCTAGTGACTTATTAAAGATGTGGGTGAAGATGGGTTTGGCAGCACAAGCTTTGAAGCAAGAAGGAGTTACCTTGTCTGGGTCTGGTGCTTTTCCAGGCTTTTGTCTGTGAAATAGACTTGAACATCATTTTCTGTGATCACCAGAGGTGGGGGGGAAAGGGATGGGGTTATAGGAGGCTTGGCTGTTGTTGGTGTGTCTGAGATGGAGATGATGGTGATTGGTTTCCTCTTAAACCTACAGTAAAACACATTCAGGTCATCTGCCAATTGTTGATTCCCTTCAGCATGGAAAGGAGGTTTGCTATAACCAATATTTTTAAGAGTTTTCCACACATTTGCTGGTTTGTATAGTATTACACTATAATAGGTGGCAAACTATTTGTTTTTAGGCAGCCTTAATAAATTTATTTTATACAAAATTAATGAATAAAATTCCTTTTGTCAGCTTTATCCTATCTTCAAATATCCTTCTTAATTTGAAGTGTAACCCAACATACCCAAAGACATTATTCAATAAAGACTAGAACAGCAAGGAGTGGAGTGGGATGAAAAGTTTTTATCATGTTCTTGTCTCTTCCCAAGCCCATCATGGTTATTCTTCTTTTGAAGTTCAGACTGAAAAAAAATGAAAATGTCTGAACCTGGAGCTTAGGAAGGGTATTCTCTTCAAGACAGAATGCCAGCTTTGGTCATAATCATGGAAATCACCCAAAAAATAAGTAAGGCCAGAAAACAAAAATTAACACAACAAGAGACCGGTCTATAACTGATTGCCAAGCAGTGTGACCCCTTCCACCCATGAGAAATTTCACCATAGCTTGTGGAATCAACAATATACTAGATAGAAGTCAAAATCAGCATGAACCATGACCATCAAAGGGTTAACAGGTAAAGAAATTGAAACATTTTGTATTAGCTATGCCAATGTCCTAAGAGGAGATAGGATAGCTAAGCTGCTTATCTAAAATACAAAGAACAAAAAAATATGTCCCTATGGAACTCATAAAATTGAGGACATTGTCTAAGGGCCCCAAAAGAAACCACAAGTTTCCCTGCTCAAACTCTAAATGATATATTACCACACTGCCCAATCCAATCACCTGGTGCTGATGGAGTTCCACCATTTTGTTATGTTGAAGGATTTCATCACACTTTTCCCTTGTTAATGATTCTGATTGGTCCAGGATTCTATGATCACAGCCAATCAGAGACTTACACAACTAATCGAGAGCTCTACTGTGATGGCTTCCCTGGATGTTTGGAGGACAAGTAAGGGCTGACATCAGAGGGAGGCAAGGAGCCCTCCAAGACAGAAGTGAAAGAAATAGAGGAAGAATTGAGGCTGGAAGTCTCGAAGGAGCCCTCAGGGGAACAATTGGATGAGAGTCTGGGTGGAGAGGAAAGGGGAAAGATGAAGCTGCAGCTGGAGGATTTGGTTAGAGGCTCATGGTGAAGAATCACAGCTGCAAGCCATCAATAGGTCTGAGAAAGAACTGCTTCCTTCACTGGATCTCAGGATGTAGAGTTGAATGGAGGGTGGCTTAATGGAGGTCAGCAAGGGTAGTCTTGCCCCTTCTAATGAGTTTCACCAGTGCATGCCTATTTTATCCAACACATGGAGCAACACAATGTTAGAAACAACTGCCCATTTTCTCTGCCATGGGTGTGCTCCCACTCTATGACTCTGGTTCTCATGGCTTTGAACCATGCTTTGTGTGACCTCATGTTTGGACTTTGGACCTGCTTCTTGGACTTTGGACCTGTACTTGGCTTGGATTTACCATGTGTGGACTCTGATCTGTGCCTGGATTTTGGATTATGCATATGTGGACTTGTGGACTTGTGCGTTTGCCTGTGGACTTTGTAACTCTGTGCCTATGCTGAGCAGACTTGAACTCAGTAGAACTTTGCAGTTGGTGTGAGTGGGGTTGGGGAAATACTAATGGGGGCTTGTGGTTCTCAATGAAGTGTTTAAAGCTCCCCATATGTGTGGACCGGCACAGGACACCTACACATATCAGAGGACACACACACCATCTAGTTTATCTTCAGATTATGTAATGAACTTTACCCCTTGACATGCAGATCTGACTGCCATAGAGTGTTGAGATTTTTCCCCTGGTGGGAAAGGATCTATTAAAGAGCCCATTCCTGCACCTCTAGTGGGCAGTTCATTCAAGACTCTGGTCACCACCTGGAATAAAGAGACAGAATGCCTAAATAGATTAAATCAGAGTGGCCTCTCTAATTCACTGTAACCCTTTGGTTTATTCAAGAGGCCAGAGAGATAAAACAGTCTAGATAAAACAACCAGTGAAGACTTGTACAAGTATAAGTACATGTATGAATACACAGTAGTAATTACACTAGCAAAAAGAAATGTTTTGCACTCTTATTGCATTGATTGAATGCCATCCAGCTGTCTTTCTTAAGGTGATTCATTCCCTTGAGGCAGTGGTGGGATTTAAATACATGAATGTGGTAACCTAATGTCCACCCACTTCCGGTGGACCATTCTGGGCCTGGGACACCTCCCCAGGTCACAACAGACTTTCTGAAGTAGTGTCTGTTATGTCCCGAGCCTTGCAAACGGCTCGGGCGTTTGCAGGCAGTCCCGGGCAGGTGCAAGGCTGCACGGGACCAGACAGGCTGTTGCCAGCGCCGTGCGCATGCGCAGGTGCTGGCGCGGGAAAAGTAACACATTTACCTGGGAGTTGCCTATATAAGAGGCTGCGAGCGTTTGGGAAGCTTAAGGAAAGCCAGCTACTTGTAAGCTGAACGCAGAATAAAGAAAACTGAGAACTCCAACTGCTTCTCGTGTCTGCTTTGCGCCAAGGACTCAACACTGGCGACGAGGGTGGGATTGCCTTACACCGTCTGGAAAGGAAGAAGTGTAAGCTTACCCAAGTGAGTCCTGAGCGGCGGAACGGCGTCGACTCGGCAGCTACCCGCCAATCCAGTGCGCATTCGGGGGTAGGCTGGCTGATAGACCTGTCTCCTGAAGATGGCGAAAATCGGAAGGCTTTCGGAGTTCGACGTCTCACATCCAGAGCGGTGGGAGTCATACGTAGCCAGGGTGGAGAACTACTTCAAGGCAAACCAAGTGAGGGAAGAGAGCTTGAAGGCTGCCACTCTGCTTTGTGTTTGCGGTCAAGACGCCTTCGACATTGCAGAAAACCTTGCAGCACCTGTTCCAGTAGAGTCTGTCAGCTACGCAGATCTGAAGAAGCTATTGAAGGAGCACTTCCACCCCAAGATGTCCGTCATCGCATGGCGCCACACCTTCAAGCAGAGGGATCAATGGCCCGGTGAGTCGGCCAAAGAATTCATCGCCGCATTACGGAAGGCCGCCAAGCACTGCGAGTTCAAAGACCTCGAAGAACGACTGAGGGACCGATTCGTGTGCGGGTTAAGGCATCGAGATCTACAACAGAGACTTTTCGCTAAAGAAGAATTGTCCTACCAAGATGCCTTAAGGGAAGTCACCGCAGAAGAAGCAGCAGGCGGCGCTGTCAAGAACATGCGGCCGATCAGAAACAGTCCAGAGGTTGCATCCGTGCACCAGGAAGACGTCCAAAGAAACTCCGAGGAGGATCCGGACGAGGAAGTCAACCGTCTCCACCCCACGAAGGAAGAAAATCAGAAGGGAAGCTCTTCAACTCCGCTCAAGTGCATCGGCTGTGGAGGTCGCCACAGGAGAACCGACTGCAAGTTCCGCTCCGCTACCTGCCGGGCATGCGGCAAACAAGGACACATTGCAGCTGTGTGTCTGGGCCGACGAAAGGTACAACCTCAGGAAGAACTGCGCCTGAAAGGTACCAGATTCCCCAGCCAGAATAGGGTAGGGTTTTGCGCTTCGCGAAGAAGCATCCTTAGGACAGGCACACACAAGCCCATTAAGAAAAAGCTGTCACTCAAGGTGAAGCTACAAGGGGTTCCATTGTCTATGGAACTGGACACAGGGTCTGCCCTTTCAATCATCTCCTTGCATACATTTAGGAAGATTTGTTCCGGTAGTGGAACTCAGGCCAAGTTAAGGCCTTCTGACATTGTGTTAACAGATTTTCAAAATTCAAGAGTGTGTGTTAAGGGGGAGGCCACCCTTAACGTGCAATACAAGAGTTTTGAAGGTCCACTAGACTTATTAGTAGTAGGGGGTGAACGAACGAGTCTCATAGGACTCGATTGGTTTGAGGCCCTGGGGATACACGTCACAGGACTCAACAGCTTACAAACACTCGACCTACAGGAAGTCTGCAAAGAATTTGCAGATGTTTTCAGCCCCCAGCTGGGCACATTCAAAGGACCCCCTGTGTCCTTAAAGCTAGACCCCACTGTCACTCCCATTAGAATTAAAGCAAGAAGGGTCCCTTTTGCTTTAAAGAGTAAAATTGACACTGAGTTAGACAAACTGATTCAACAGGGAATCCTAGAACCTGTTGATTCCAGTCCTTGGGAGACCCCCATTGTCACGCCTCTAAAGGCAAATGGGGACATTCGCATTTGTGCTGACTACAAATGCACTCTGAATAAGGCATTGCAGCAACATGCCTATCCTGTTCCTGTGGTCAGTCATATTCTGGCCTCCCTCAAGGGGGGGCGCGTTTTTGCAAAGCTTGACCTAGCTCAAGCGTATCAACAGCTGCCTGTTGATGATGATGCTGCTATAGCTCAGACTATTGTGACCCACAGGGGAGCCTTTAAGGTAAAAAGGCTGCAGTTTGGAGTGAATGTCGCTCCTGGGATTTTCCAAAGCGTAATGGAAAACACACTGCGGGGCATACCGGGGGTTTGCCCCTACTTTGATGATGTCTTAATTGCAGGAGACTCCACACACATTCTAGCTGAAAGGCTAAGGGCTGTTCTGTTAAGGTTCAGGAAAACAGGCCTCAAGCTCAAAAAAGACAAATGCAAAATTGGGGTGCCTTCTACTGAATTTCTGGGATTCAAAATTGATGCTGCTGGAATTCACCCTGCTGAATCCAAACTAACTGCCATTTTAGAAGCACCTAGGCCAAAGTCCAAGGCCGAACTTCAGGCCTTCCTGGGTCTCCTGAATTTCTACAATTCTTTTCTTCCACATAAAGCTAGTGTAGCTGAGCCTCTTCACAGGCTACTAGACAAGCAAGCTGTGTGGCGGTGGTCACAGACGCATGAGGCCTGCTTTAACGAAGTCAAGGCCTTGCTCACTTCTAACAGTGTACTTGCACATTTCAACGAGTCTCTTCCTGGGTGCATCGCGTGTGATGCGTCCCCTTACGGGGTTGGGGCTGTCCTGAGCCACCTCAGGTCTGATGGAACTCATGTTCCTGTTGCATATTATTCAAGAACATTGTCTTCTGCCAAGCGCAACTACGCTCAGATAGACAGGGAGGCTCTGGCTGTTGTTGCGGGAATTAAAAGATTCCATGATTTTCTATATGGCAGGCAGTTCACAGTCTTCACTGACCATAAGCCTCTGCTGGGACTGTTTATCACACGTAAGCAGACTCCCCAAATCATTTCCCCTAGAATGCTTAGGTGGTCTATTTTTTTGTCTGCATATGATTTTTCTTTACTCCACAAGCCTGGGAAAGATATGGGCCATGCTGATGGCCTCAGTAGACTGCCTCTGCCAACAGTGGAAGCTGACCCTGCGCCAGCTGTCAACATTCTATCAATCCAAGCCTTGCCCGAGCTCCCTCTTAGTGCCAGGGATGTTGCCGCTGAAACAGGTACAGATCACACACTTTCACGTGTCCGTTCCTGGGTTTTGTCTGGTTGGCCTGAGGACTGCCCTAGTCCTGAGTTTCAGAGTTTCTGGTCCAAAAGGAACGAGCTGTCCCTTTCTCAGGGTTGTTTGCTTTGGGGAAACAGAGTTGTCATTCCCACCTCAATGAGGACTAGGGTCTTGGAATCCCTCCACGAGGGTCATCCTGGCATTGTTCGTATGAAGGCTCTTGCACGCAGCCACTTATGGTGGCCTGGTTTAGATAAAAATATTGAGGCTAAGGTGCATGCATGCCATCTGTGCCAACGATCTCACCCAGAGATGCCCCAAGCTCCCGTGCACAGATGGGAGGAAACACAGTCCCCATGGTCTAGGGTGCACATTGACTACGCTGGGCCCTTTCAGGGCCAGTTCTTCTTGGTCCTTGTTGACAGCCACTCAAAATGGCTTGAGGTTGTACCTGTCTCATCCACCACCACTCAAAGACTATTCAGGTACTGAGGGGGATTTTTGCTGCACACGGGCTGCCAGATGTCATTGTGTCCGACAACGGCCCTCAATTCACTTCCTCCGAATTCCAAGCTTTTTTACAGGCTAACATGATTCGTCATGCCACGTCTGCGCCTTTCCACCCGTCCACCAACGGTATGGCTGAACGCATGGTGCGCATCACAAAGGACGCCTTGAAAAGACTCACCTACGGGGACTGGCATCACAGGTTGGCTGACTTTCTCCTTTCTTATCGCACCACACGTCCACTTCTACAGGGAGAAGTCCAGCTGAACTTCGTTGGGGGCGTCAACTTACTACTAAACTTGACCGGTTGCATCCGGACAGATTGCCTTCATCTACCTCACATCCTAGGGCACCTAGACAACTACTTGAGGGTGCCCCGGTCTGGACTCGCAATTACGGGCCTGGTCATACATGGGTCCCCGCTTCTGTCTCCAGGGTCACGGGTCCTCTATCCTACGAGGTAGCTCTGGACAACGGTCGTGTCCTGCGCAGGCACATCGACCAACTCCGCCCTAGGCGGCATCTTCCAGCTGAGACTCCTGGGTCTTTTCCAGGGGGGGAGGGGGACCCTTTGGAGCAAAGGGAAGGGCACGAGCTGCTGCCCATCTCCACTGATGGAGCCACAAACGGCCCATTCCAGGGTTCCGCAAGAGCTCCAAACAAGAATTCTATGAGCCTACCCAACTACCAGGCATCCATGCCTACTCCAGCCAGGGAGTCACCCCGGGGGCATACTCACTTTCCACACATATCACACAGCACTCCAGTCACGGAGGATACCCGGGGGCATCCCAACAAATCATTCCCCGCAAGAGAGCTGGCACACAATCCCCAAGGTTGGCCTGACCTTACCCCAAATCCTACAGGGGGTCAAATATACAGGGAGGTGGTTGAGGAACCAAGTCCCGACTACAACACCTCTAGCCCAAATCAGGGAATAACTGAGTTTTGGGAAGGTACAGAAACCCACACAAGCCCAGACACAGAACGGGGTTCAGGGAATGGACAGCCTCCTGACAGGTCTTGGACGGACCTAGGAGGTTCAACAGAGACGCCCAGCAGTGGCTATCACTTCAGGGGGCCTGAGGGTCTACAGCTAGGCAGGTCAACCAGGTCACAAAGTGACAGAAGCCCTGGCCTGACGAGCCCGGTGGGCGAGCAAGCAGGCCAGGCATCAGGGCACAGCCCTTGGAAGGCACCAAAACAAAATAAGGAGAACAGGCTCACATCTCCCTCCAGTCAGGGAACTCCTGCTAGTAAACCAGAGCTGAGAAGGTCACAGAGAGCAAAGAAATCTCCTAAGTACCTAGAGGATTATATAACATTGCTGGCAATGCAAAAGCCAGCAAACAGTGGAAGCACTGGGGAGCGGAACGCTGTATAGAACAAATGATTATATGTTGGTAGTAGTTTCAGCCCGGGGGAAAGGGGTGTTATGTCCCGAGCCTTGCAAACGGCTCGGGCGTTTGCAGGCAGTCCCGGGCAGGTGCAAGGCTGCCCGGGACCAGACAGGCTGTCGCCAGCGCCGTGCGCATGCGCGGGTGCTGGCGCGGGAAAAGTAACACATTTACCTGGGAGTTGCCTATATAAGAGGCTGCGAGCATTTGGGAAGCTTAAGGAAAGCCATCTACTTGTAAGCTGAACACAGAATAAAGAAAACTGAGAACTCCAACTGCTTCTCGTGTCTGCTTTGCGCCAAGGACTCAACAGTGTCCATGCATATTCAGTGGGCCCTTCTGGGCCTGGGATGTGTCCATGTACTTCCAGTGGACCTGGGAGGTCTCCCTGGCTCAGATTGGACTTCCAGAAGTGGCTCTGGGCCTTGCGAAAAAGGGCTAGAGCATCAGCCTGTTCACAGTCAACAAAAAAATAGCTACCAGTTCTACCGAACTGCTGCAAACTGGCTGAATTCCACCACTGGACATTTGATGGACAAAAACCATTCAGATTTGTGAAAATCAGCACTTCAGATGGACAGCACCAATAGAGAAGATTGGGGTCTCATCTAATAAAATGAATTTAGAACATTTTAAGTCTTCAAGTTCCAAGAAAATGGATAGCAACTTCTTCAAAAATTTTATTTATATACTGTTTAATTGAACTGATTCATTTCTCCACCCAGCTCATAGATGCAACTCTAGGCAGCCAACAACACATTAAATAAATAAAGCAATATCAACAAAGCATTGAAAGCTAGTTCCCTGAAACAAACTCAAAAAACACATAACAAAATAATGACATCTCATGGACCATCTAGACTCCTGACTGCTATGCCTTGGAACACATGTAGATTGCCCGTGCTTTATTAAAGGCTGGTAATATTGGTACCAATCTCAATAGGAATGGAAATCTAGAGGATGAGCACCATGACCAAAATTAGCTGTAGTGCTTTTCAGTTGGATTATGCTTATGCTTGGTTAAGGCTTCAAATGAAGTAATAGGAGATTGAATCTGAACATTATCAATCTCTGACTGACAGAATGTTTCTATTACCTCAAAATGAGCTGTAATATGCCCTATGATCAAGAGGCCTTCATCTGATCTGACTATTTTGGACAACTACAGATCTATCACCAACATTTCTTTTCTTTGAAAAGTTAGGGAGAAAGTGATGGCACTTCAATTTCAAAGGTCTCTAGAAGAAGACTTTTAGGTTTAGGTGAGGATACAATAAAAGAACTATATCAATCTTGGAGAGACCAGGTGTCTCTGGTTTAGGTGAGGATACAATAAAAGAACTATATCAACTTGGAGAGACCAGGATCAGGGATTTCCTTACTCTCTCTGCTTTCATAAAAATACTAAATACCCAGAGACTTGAGATTTTCTGAGCTTTTTAAAGTCCATTCTGATAGCATTATAGATATTTTCTGCAGATTATTTCTCCTAAACTGTATTAGCAAGAAATTTCCTTTGTTAGAGAACTAAATAAATAGATATTATTAAATGTTTCTATTCAATTGAAGTAAGTGGGGTTTTATTTTTTGTTTTTGTTTTTTGCTTTTTTCATTTTGAATATCTAAAATGCAAAGTTATAAAATAGCTATTCCATTTTATATTCTTTTCACTTTTAAAGAAATTAAGCACTGATTTTTACTAAATAATTTAAAGCCTCATTCCATTTATTCCTGTTTAAGACATAATGATTCCTATTTATACTACAATAAATCATTTGCTGTTTTTAATTTATGTAAAGTCTGGCCATGCTAACTTCTTTAATATTCCAAGGTTAGCTCATATTATCAGCCAGTCAGTTTCAGAATATCATCTCAAACAAACTCATGAACACCTCAAGTACATCTCTGGGCATTATTTCTTTGCCCATTATCACCATCAAATTGTTCCCAGAATCTGAACATAGCTTTCAATCCCTCACATATTCCCCATTCATGATTCTTACAAAAAAATATCCTAGGAGAGAAAAAAAAACCACATGATTTCTGCAGGACTTCCCTAGGGGAAACTGAACTCCAATTTAATAATCATCTTCTTGTTTGTGCATGTACATTACTGTTTTTAATTCTTCTTTTTCTCAGTCTCACTGAATTTCAGTGTTTGTTAGAAAGATTAATAAAAAAAGGTTAATGTAGGATGTTACTTCTCTTTCTCTTAAAATAGCAATACAATTTAGAGTTAGAGAGAAACATGGTAGGCTTAGGGATAAGTAAGGATCCCCAAGCCCAATCCTAGACAAACTACCGCTCATATTATAAAATGTTAATCACAAAAATGCTAATGGTCATGATGTAAGAACAAACAGAGCATCTTTGAAATCTGTCCTTGTAATAGGGATGGCAGCTTTATTGGTCTGGCTGCTAATGCTGCTCCCTCATGTGGGATGCAAAACTCACAGGTGCAGCATCCTTCATCCATATCCTCCATATCACAAGTATCATCAGCCAGGAGATCTTATGGTGGGAGGCATTCCTTCTCAAATTGCTCCAGTCTCAGATGAAGTTACTTTTGAAGAACACCCCACTCCAATATTACCTGAACAATATGTGTAAGGAATGGAATTATTATTATTGGTTTATATTTTCAGATATTTCTGATTGCTGAAATAATCCATCAAAGAATAATAGATGATTGACGGGGATCAATATAAGTAGTTGCTAAGAAAAGCATTCTTTTCTCAATCAGTGAACATTATGCGTGGACTTATGGGGAATGGGGAAGCCCATCTATGTGGTGATATTCTATGTTTAAAGCACACTTACCAAATCAGAGCATTGCCACCTGAATGGGCTGCTGTGAGTTTTGCCACCTGTGAGAAGTTCGCAATTCTCCACTATTGCTGTGCTGATTGGGGAGAACTCCTTGGTGACATACACACAGCTTGAGGAGGACTGATTTAAAGCTCTTTTATGTTTTTCTTGTTTGTGCTCTGTGTTTAAAATTCTTTGCACAATTGTCCTTCAAAGTTGTCTGATAATGAATATTACTGAAGAATATTCAATTGTAAATGTTCTTATTAATTCATATACAGAAGGGAGATCACTTATAGCGGCAGATATATGGGATAAGTTGGTGAAACTAGCTTACTGAATTCCCCTTATATATAACTATTGGTAGAATGTAAGAATGGTAGAATATCCTTCTGATGTCCAAATCTCATTGTAGTGGCATTCCTAAGAATTACCAGCACATCCTGGCTTTGGCATTTGCAGTAAAGGAAATCAATGAAAACCCACAAATCCTACCCAATCTCACCTTGGGCTTCCATATTTATGATAGCTACAACAATGCTAGAAGTACGTATCAGGCCACCATGCTACTTCTATCAGCAACTGAGAGACTGGTCCCCAACTATCTATGTAACATCCAGGGTAATCTCATAGCTCTTTTTGGAGGACTGGATGCCCAAATCTCTTTTCCTGTGGCAACTATCTTGGATATCTATAAGATTCCACAGGTAAGACATCATTTCAATGTAAATTTCATGCTATTTTCAGTTTCACAAGGCAACCTCATATTGAATTGTTAAGTATATTGAGGCAGAATGGGTGAAAAGATATTCCCCTGAAATTTCTAGAGTCCAATAGTCAGAAATAATCCATTTAATCCAAAAGTAAGCTCTTATTTTTAAGAATCTTAATGTTTTAACCCACCTATTAAAAAGCTAGTTGGAAGAACAGACAATTCTGGGAATAAAACTCAATTATTTTTATTAGTTTTACAATGTTTATTCCAATTACATAGAAAGTAGGGTATGCTAATAAGTAATGGGCATTAATAACAAGAATAGTATCTCAAACTCATTATAAAGGAAGAGACAAGTGGCAGAAGGTAAACAGCATTATTGTTTGAGAACAGAGAATGGAAGAGGAATAAAAAGGAGACAAAAAGCTGAATCAGTAAATCTATACTACAAATCAACAAAGAGAGATTGGGGGGGGGGGAGGATATAGACTGGAAAAACAAACCATCCCACAAGACAACACCAATCAGATTTTAGAGGAGATGAGGAGAATTGCTCAGAAGTATTGAAGGAAAGCTGCAATAATTTAGAGAAACTGAAAAACTAAAAGGCACACTAGTTCTCCAAGTCAGCTTTGAATCTCTTTCAGCATTAAAAAGGTTTCATTTGACATGGTGAATTCCAGAATATAATCCAAGTATCCAGTTGCTTCCAATGCTAATGCAGTCTCAAGAGTTTATCTAGAAATAAATTTAGTACAACCTGATACAAGACTTCAAAAAGCCATCTCTGGGAATTAGAAAAAAATCATATGTACACTTTGTTCTTATGAAACAAAAGATGTTGCAAGAAAACCTCATTGACCACTGCAAATCTAAATGGTTCATAAGTATCTCTAAACTAACTTTCATTTCACCTTCAACAAAAGCATAAATTGAACAATTTAAAAATGTATATCAATATAAAATTCAGGATATTCATCTATGCATCTAGACATCACTAGATATACTTGTACATGAGGACAAATTTACTTTTGTCTGGAAAATAAAAATGCTTTTGTTTTGAAAATATGAAGCACCAATTACCCATACCTTATGAATATACTGTTTGGTTTTAGATGAGGTCAGGTTTCATAATATTCTATTAGAAATTATTCCTCATCCATAGCAACACTGAAATTTAATTCATCAGACCTCCAATACCTTTCTTGTTGTTATGCCTTCTAGAACTACAAAATCCAGGGATAGTAATTCATGGGATTCTCATCTCAGCAAGGCAGGCAAAGCTCTCTTAAAGGTTAGGATAAAATGATGAATTAATACATGTTGATCACTATGAAGACTTGAAAGTGTTATCTAGATGCTGCTCTTATCTTCTTTTCCTGTTCTTCTCTAGCTTATTTGTGGCTCTGCTCCAATAATGAATGATAAAACCCCAGGCCTTTTATTTTATCAGATGTTTCCCCCAGAACCTCTTCAGTATAGCGGGATTGTCTCTCTGCTCTTACATTTTAATTGGACATGGATTGGAATCCTTATTATGGATAATGAGATGGGAGAAAAATTTATAGAAACAGCGATTCCTCTTTTTTCCAAAAAAGGGGTTTGTGTTTCTTTCGTTCAACGGTTTCACAAATTAACTGAGTTCAACAGACTTGCAGGCATGCTTCAACAGGGGGCAAAAGTCTATGATTATGTCATGGGTGGTAAAGCTAATGTATTGTTATTCAATGGAGAATCCTTTACTATGGGCTATTTCCTATGGCTACAATATATTCCAAATATAGAGGAGGTGAGCAGTAAACCAAAAGGTATTGTGTGCATAATGCCTGCACAGCTGGAATTCAATTTAATCCCTTTTCAACGTGCTTGGAGTATCAAAATAATTGATGGTGCCCTTTCCTTCACAGTTCATTCCCCTGCTCTACCAGAGTTCAAATCATTTGCTGAGATACAAAACCCCTTCAGTGCAAAGGAAGATGGATTTATCAAACAGTTCTGGCAAGAAGCCTTTGACTGTGTATTCCCAGATACAATTCTGAGTTACGAGCATGAGAATATTTGCAGTGGAAAAGAAAGTTTGGCGAATCTTCCTGGAACCTTTTTTGAAATGGACATGACTGGCCATAGCTACAGTGTCTACAATGCTATTTATGCCATAGCTGATGCTTTACATGCTCTGTTTTCTTCTAGAAATGCTGACAGGTCAATGATGAATACAATAGGAAGGAAAATTCATAATCAAGATGTCTGGCAGGTAATCTATTTTTCATTCTTCTTGACTCCGTTCACTTAATATATCATAATGTACATATATTTTGTATGTTGTTGTTAGTTGCGAAGTTATGTCCGACCCATCGTGACCTCGTGGACAATGTTACTCCAGCCCTTCCTGTCCTCTACCATCTTCTGGAGTCCATTTAAGCTCATGCCCACTGCTTCAGTGACTCCATCCAGCCACCTCATTATCTGTCATCCCATTCTTCTATTGCCCTCAATCTTTCCCAGCATTAGGCTCTTCTCCAGTGAGTCCTTCCTTCTCATTAGGCAGCCAAAGTATTTGAATATTTTGTATATGTACGTGCATTGTATATATCATATAGGGGTAAGATGATAGCAGTGTTCTAATATTTAAGGGGCTGCCACAAATAAGAGTAGATCAATCTATTCTCCAAAGCACCTGAAGGCAGGACAAGAAGCAATGGGTGGAAGCTAATTAAGGAGGGAACAAACCTAGAACTAAGGAGAAATTTCCTATCAGTGAGAACAATTAACCAGTGGAACAGCTTGTCTTCAGAAGCTGTAGGTACTCCAACACTGAAAGTAATAATAAGAGATTGGTCAACCATTTGTCTGAAATATTATTGGGTTTCCTGCCTGAGCAGGGGATTGGACTAGTAGAAGACCTCCAAGGTCCCTTCCAACTCTATAATTCTGTTGTATTGTATCTACAGCTTTACTTCCTTTCCTCCTGAATCCCCTGTGGAAATATATCTGTCCATATATGGTTGTATGATTGTCTGACTCCAAAAGTCAGAAAATGTCCAATCATTTTTTGGAAGTATGATTCAAACTATCAGGGAAAAGGTGCACATTCATTCTATTTATCTTTTTTTTGAACCAACAATATTTTGGTTTCATCTACTAATCCTTTGACTCATGTCACACGTTCTCTTTAATTTCACTGGACAACCCATGGTCCATTGGGTCATTCTTTTTTCCATATACTATATAGCCTTGTGCCATTTCCTTCCCCCCCCCCAACCTTCAAAACATTCCCAGTGAAGATTTGTCCTCCTCCCCTTCCTCAGCTGACCCATGGAATTGCCTGCCATTTTGCTAGGGGAGAGGGGAACCAAGGATGCTACAACTCATGAGGAAAACTACATCTCCCTTCCCAGTTAAGTATATCTCCAGAGGCCCCTTTCCCTAGGGAGAAAGAGGACTCACCTAGTAAACCTTGGTGCCTCCCTGCCAGCCCTACCTCACTAGTATTCCCAAAGAGTCAAGGGTCGCACCATTCTGTAAGTTAACCCATTTGAGCTACCTTGGTTCAATAACTGTTGCCCTATACTATCAAATTTTGCTCAGTTGAAGGTTACAAATGAACAAACACAAGAGTTTTTGTAGTGTAGATATATCAAAAATGAAAGTGCCTGGAAGGCAATTCAAATGTGTATTTTTCTGTTTTGTAATTTACCAGCATGGAGACTGGCAATTTAGTCTTTCCAATATTTTGTGCTTTTTTTTTTAATTTAGCTCCACTACTTTCTGAGAAGTGTTGCTTTTAACAATAGTGCTGGGGAACAGATTTTCTTTGACCAGAATGGGATTCTGGCAATTGGATTTGATATTCTCAACTTGATTGCTTTTCCAAACAAATCTTTTCTTCATGTGAAAGTTGGAAGCGTGGATCATTCAGCTCCCTCAGATAAAATATTAACCATCAGTGATGAGATGATTACATGGCACAGCTGGTTTAACCAGGTAAAATTTAATTACTATTTCTGAACCTGAACTAGCACTAATTTCTCTAATCTGATATCATTGTTTTATATTGGACATTAGTAAATTTATACATCAAGTTATTCCCTCATAAGCAATTTTAGAGCTCATCATCAGGCCCAATTAACTGTGGCATAAAGATGACCCTTAACAGTATTTGGGGAGAAATAGTGAGCAGTCATGTCCTCTTGATGCAATCTGGCTCAGTCCCAGGCCGTGGATTAAGGTTATACCTATCCTTAGTTATTCTGATTTTTAAGCAGTGCTTTCAGGGTTTTTTTCCAATACTAATAGGTGGACATTATTAATAGATAAAGCTACTAATTGGAAGTGCTATTAGATTCAAAGTATTTAATTTAAAAACAATGAGATTTGGCTGAGCTTTATACAAGGACAATTCGGAAATCAACCTCCATTTGGTTATCAATGACAGACACTCGCAGATACAGAACTTTTATTATATGCATTAGAAAACTACAACATTACATTACTTTTTGACATAATTGCCATTCATAATTGTCATAACATCTTACAAGGTTTGAAACTCCTTAGTAGTAGTCACTCGGCACCAAATCTGGGCTATGGGAGGGGTGATCAAAAATTGTTGGGTGTGTCTAGCGGTTTGCGGGGGGGGCATTATTGTGAACCAACACCACACCAGAAGTGGTGCCATAGAAAATCTCACCAAATGTGAAGATGCCAAAGGAGTACTGCTAGTAAAGTTCATGGAGCGTGGGTTGACCATCAATTCAGATGTCTACTGTGAAACATTACGAAAACTCAGATGAGCCATCCATAACAAGCATTGGGGCATGCTGATTTCCGGTGTGGTGTTATTTCACGATAATGCTCATCCATACACCGCTAGACACACCCAAGAACTTTTGAAGCAGTTCCATTGGGATGTTTTTGATCACCCCCCACCACATAGCCCAGATTTGGCACCCAGCGACCACTACTAAGGAATTTCAAACCTTGTATGAAGTTATAACAAATGCCTCAATCTGAATGGCGATTATGTCAAAAAGTAATGTAATGTTGTAGTTTTCTAATGTGCATAATAAAAAGTTCTGTATCCGCGAGTATCTGTCATTGATAATCAAATGGATGTTTATTTCTGAACTGCCCTCGTATTATTACCATTCTAATTGAAAAATGAGTTTCAAGTTATTATTTCTATTACTAAACTCAGAAGATGCCTGTGACAAATTCTCATATTTTCATATTTATGTGCCCATTGGGTCAAAAAGCTTCAATATACCTACTCCAGAATATAATTGTCTTTAGACTACAAAATTTGGAATTAAGCACATTTGGAAATAAGCAAAGATTTGCTCTTTGAACAAAAAAAAATCTTCTGATTTCTTCTCCATATTTTCCTTTATTCCTAGGTCCAACCTATTTCTGTCTGCAGTGAGAGTTGTAATCCTGGTTTCAGCAAGCAGGTGAAGGAAGGGGAGCTGTTTTGTTGCTATGATTGCATTCCATGCCCAAAAGGGAGGATTTCAACTGAGAAAGGTATGAAAACATTGCTCTGCTCCCATCTAAACAACCTTTACTACATTTTGAGGCTCTGATATTTTGAGAAAATATTTCCAAAGCTGGTAATTGTTGCTTTAGACCAGTGGTTCTCAACCTTCCTAATGCCGTGACCCTTTAATACAGTTTCTCATGTTGTGGTGACCCCCAACCCCCCATCCAGCTGGTTGGGGGGTATCAAAAATTTGACCCAAAAAAAGGAAAAAATGGGAAAGTATAGGTAGTCCTCGACTTACAACAATTCGCTTAGTGACTGTTTGAAGTTATAACAGCACTGAAAAAGCAAATTATGATCATTTTCACACTTATGATTGTTGCAGCATTCCCAGGGTCATGTGATTTACATTCAGATGCTTGACAACTGATTATATTTATGACATTCACAGTGTCCCAGGGTCATGTGATCAATGGCCAGGGGTGTGGCCAGCTGATCACTCAGGTTGCAGAGTGCCTGTGGGGGGGAATCTGTGGGTCTCTGGGATGGGACGGGGTGGGTGCCTGCCTTCCTTCCCTCCCTTCTCTCCCCTTGTCCCTTCCTTCCTTCTTTTCTTCCTTTCCTTCACCTCCCTCTTAGTCTCTTCCTCTTTCCCTCCCTCTCCCATTGTCCCTTCCTTCCTTTTCTTCATCTCCCTTAGTCTCTTCCTCCTTCCCTCCCTCTTTCCCATTGTCCCTTCCTTCCTTCTTTCCTTCCTTTCCTTCACCTCCCTTAGTCTCTTCCTCCTTCCCTTCCTCTTTCCCATTTTCCCTTCCTTCTTTCCTTCCTTTCCTTCACCTCCTTCTTAGTCTCATCCTCCTTCCCTCCCTCTCTCCCATTGTCCCTTCTTTCCTTCTTTCCTTCCTTTCCTTCCCCTCCCTCTTAGTCCCTTCCTTTCTTCCTTCCTTCCTTCCCTCTTTGTCCCTTCCTTCTTTCCCTTCCTTCCATTGTTCCTTCCTTCCTTCCCTCTCTCATTGTCTCTTACTACCCTCCCTCTTCATCCCTTCCTTCCTCCCCCCCTCCATGCCCAGGAAGGGACAAGGGGAGGGGGACAGGCTGCCAGAGGCAGAGGAGAGCTCCACCCAGCTCACTTGCTCAGCTTCACCAGAAAACATGCTGCTTGCTAAGTTAGCAGAAGCCCCAGGATCAGCACTGAGCTACAGCTGATTTGCCCTTCTGCTAAATTAGCAAGCGGCATGTTTTCTAGCAAAGCTCGAGCAAGTTTGCTGGGCAGGAGCCAAGGAGAGCTGCTACAGCTGACCTGCTTCTTGGCTGCTCTGCAAAAGCGTGGATCAGCTGTAGAGGTTCGCCCCGATCCTGGACAAGAGGGAAGGAAGGACAGACAGAAGGGACAAGGGGAAAGAGGGAGGGAAGGAGGGACAAAGAGGGAGGTGAAGGAAAGGAAGGAAGGAAGGAAGGAAGGAAGGAAGGAAGGAAGGAAGGAAGGAAGGAAGGAAGGAAGGGACAAGGGGAGAGAGGGAGGGAAGGAGGGACAAAGAGGGAGGCAAAGAAAAGGAAGGAAGGAAGGAAGGAAGGAAGGAAGGAAGGAAGGAAGGAAGGAAGGAAGAAAGAAAGAAAGAAAGAAAGAAAGAAAGAAAGAAAGAAAGAAAGAAAGAAAGAAAGAAAGAAAGAAAGGGACAATGGGAGAAGGAGGGAAGGAGGAAGAAACCAAGAGGGAGGGAAGGAAAGGAAGTTCCAGCCAGCAGAGGCTTGGCAGCCCGGCTGCTGAGGAACAGAAGAGCGTAAAGCCAAGGAGAAGAAAGTGGTGGTTTCCTCCCAAAGGGGGCTCCTTTTTTCCACCCCTTCCCTGGGTTTATGGAGAATTTTTCATCACCAAAGCTGACAGGTGCTCCTTTGAGCCTGCCGTGAGCTTTCTCGCCCCCTTTGCTTCTCCCCCCCTGCTTTCATAAGGATTGTGGTGCCCTTGGGAAGCCGATCGTGCTTTGAAGCTTAGGAGAGGAGGAGGAGTCCCTCCTTCCCTCCCTCTCTCCCTGTCAAGCCCCAGCGGGCTCAACATGAACGGGCAGAGGAGTCGAGGATGGGCGGGGTGGCAAAGGAGACTGGTGGCCGTCGCCACACCTCCTGGCTGACAAGCGCAAGTTCGGGGGTCGCCAGCTGATGAGCGCAGGAGTGCTGCCTCCCCTTCGCTGACCTGCATGCACGAGAAGAAGTCAATCCGGTTGCTGCACAATGAGTCTCTGGAGAGGGCGGGGCCTTGCTCTGCACCTGCGCTCTTCATGCGCCTCCTGCAGGGCACATTTGGTAGAATTCATGCAGATGCTGCCAAGCAGCATATTTTCCACAAACAAGTGAGGTGGAGCAGAGGGGGGGAGGGAGAGGTGAAGCAGAGGGGGGGAGGCTCTTAAGCCCTGCCTAAGACCATCAGAAATATGTGTTTTCTGATGGTCTTAGGCAACCCCTGTGAAAGGCTTGTGTGACCCCCAAAAGGGTCGGGAACCATAGGTTGAGAACCGCTGCTTTAGACAGTGCAGTATTCAAGCAGTTTGTTAATTAAAAAATAAACACTGTTTCTTGATTATTTTTTAAAATAAACAAAGAACATTTTTCTATTGAATTTAACCATCTGGGAAATTATGAAATAACTACAAAACCATGTATTTTTAATATTGTTTTATTCCTCAGTAATGGCATCTACAGGGTCTGGGGAAGATTAATACCCTGGCCATCTGCACATTCCTTAGCTATTGTAGAACAGTAATTAATAAACAACATTCTAATAAACTAGTAAAGAGAACTCCAGTATATTTAGCTGAACTGGGTTCTGAGGTGAAACTCAATTGCTGAGAATTCTGTAATATCGATAAATATTATGGATAGAATGAAATGTTTATTTGCTCAGAACCACCTTTTTCTGAATCAGTCCACCCAATTAATATTATATTTTAAATAAATTCAAAATGCTACAACTTTTGTACATTTGAGGACTGACCAGTAGTCACTTTTTTCAGAGCTGTTGTAACTTTGAACAATTGCTAAATGAATGGTTGTAAGTCAAGGACTACCTGTTGGATACATATACTGTGTACTCGCAAAACTAAAAGCAACAGATTTGTTATTATAATGCTTTACTATAACTATTATTTGTCCTTTCCATCTCTAGAGATGGAAACCCACATATGGATTTTAATGATAAAATTAAAAAAATAAAAAATTAATAACATATCAAACATTATTAAATGCAGAAAACAAAATTTGGGTCATTGGTCTCTGGAGAGTTACCAGACACTTTTAAAAACTCAAATTGTTCTATATATTACAATGTCATGCTGGATGGTTATACAGAATATTAGTGAGAATTCAATCTCATTTCTTATTTTTTTCAGACAAAAATGAATGTACTAGATGCAAAGACAAATACTATCCAAACAAAAAACATGATTTTTGTATTCCCAAAACTATTAGTTTCTTGACTTATGAAGAACCTTTAGGGATCAGTTTAGCTTGTATTGCTGTTTCTTTTTCTTTATCCACTGTTCTTGTACTTGGAGCATTTATGAGGTACCACAACACTCCCATTGTCATAGCCAACAACCGGGACCTAACCTATATACTCCTCATTGCTCTGCTACTCTGTTTCCTTTCGGCATTGCTCTTCATTGGCCAACCAAGAAAATTAAGTTGTCTTCTCAGACAAAAAATGTTTGGAATGGTTTTTTCAATGGCTGTTTCTTCTGTCTTGGCAAAGACCATCACAGTAGTTCTGGCTTTTATGGCCACCAAACCAGGATCCAGAATGAGAAAATGGGTGGGGAAAAAAATGACTAATTCCATTGTTATTTCCTGTTCCCTGACCCAAGCAGGCATTTGTACTCTCTGGCTGGTAATAGGTCCCCCCTTTCCAGATGTTGATATGATCTCAGTGACTGAAGAAATTATCCTGCAATGTAATGAAGGCTCCGTGACCATGTTTTATTGTGTCCTTGGCTATATGGGTTTCCTGGCTCTTATCAGCTTCATCACAGCTTTTCTTGCCAGGAAATTACCTGACACTTTCAATGAAGCCAAGTTCATCACCTTCAGCATGTTGGTCTTTTGCAGTGTTTGGTTGTCCTTTGTCCCAGCATACCTGAGTTCCAAAGGGAAATACATGGTGGCTGTGGAGATTTTTTCCATCTTAGCCTCTGGTGCTGGGCTTTTGGTTTGCATCTTTTTCCCCAAATGTTATATCATTGTGTTTTGGCCAGACCTGAACAACAAGGAACAATTAATGAGAAGAAAAGACTGATTAAAAACAATCTGTTCTTTCTTTATCAAATGCGCATCTTGATTTCTGTGCGTTGTTGTGCATATTAACTAACTCTTAGATCCCAATCGATATAAATTAACAATGCTTTCATTTTGGGATTTCCTGACTATATAAATCTGCTTTAAAATCTATATTGGTTAGTCAATAGAAGAAACTACCAGAAGAGAAAGAAGAAAAAATTTGGTCAACAACTAGAATATAATACAGTAAAATAAAATAGTCAAGATAATATAAATATGACTAAAATCTATAAAAGCAAGCTGAATCACTAAGCGTATAGTCCTGGGGGAATTGGGGGGAGATAGGTGCCCTGCAGTATTCCTGTGGTTGGTCATAAGGGTGAATGACTGTGCAACCAGGTCATAAGTAACATTCAAGGGGTCCACTGCAGTATGCAACTAATCATAAGTTGAGGACTACCTGTACAAACATGTGAAGGTCATAAATATGAGGCTTGATCAGAGAGTTATTTTTTTCATTCCCATTATAACTGCAAATGGTCACTAAACAAGGCAGTCATTAAGCAAGAACTAGCTGAAATTTAAATTTGTGCCCTCAAGAACTCCAGGTGTAAATTGTGGAGGAATAGGCTAGGCCATCTTCAAGCTACCAAGAGTTACCTCTCCCTCTGCTGTTCATTCCTGCATATGTCTTGGAATTCCATTCATCCATTAATCCATCAGCAGGGTGGCTGCTACAGATTCAAGTGCTTAGAAAAGTCCTCTAGCAACACATTTTGAGAGTGGCCAAAAACATGACTACCTTATGAATGGCATTCCAAGAATCTTTTCACAATAATGCATATAGGTTGTCAGATAATGTGACAATCCACTCCAGAAATTTGAATAACTTGTGTCCAAAAAAGTAGCTGTTCGAAGATTAGAAGAGTTAAAATTATTGGCCCCCAATTTGTCCTTCATTCTATTCTCCTGCTCAAAATGGCTGCCTCCTTTTTTTCTAAATTTGCCCTGCATGGAAGATAATTTGTCTCAGTCTGAGCTTAGGCCTTACTTTCATACTGAATAGCCCAAAACCAATTCATCTTGTGTTAGGGCTGGAGCTCCATCAGTGCATCAAGTTAATACATTCTATTTAAAAAATCACTATTAGAAAAGGGAGAATTAATAACTGAAATGGGATTCTTTCAATTCTCATCTCTTTGGACAATGTTTTTTTCCAAGTTTTGAGATCAAAGCCTACCGCATTTGAAGATACATTAGTATCCTCTGCCAAAATCCAGAAATGAACCTCCTGTACATATTTAACTATGCAGTTGCATGTAAATATTTAAGCACTATTAGTCAGATTTAATGTCTCAAACATTAAACTGACCAATACTTTTGCTTGATGATTAGAAGCAATGTCACTTCATATATGACAAAAACCTGTTATTTTTCAATTGTCCTATAGAGAAATTGCTACTATGGATTGCTGATTATCTTGGTCTATAATTATGTAAAGTAATTTTCCTTCTTCTCCAAACCTCTGTTGAATTTCAGTGAACAATATCAAAATTACAAACAAAAATAAGGATGTTATAAATATGACCCATACAGTTTATACTTAAAGAGGATGATTGGGAAGGTGTACTTGTATATTGCCCTTACTAGGATTAATTGCATTTTTCAGTCCCCTGAGAAATACAGATTTGATTGATATAAGCCTGCAAACAAAACTAAGAGCATTGCAGATGAAAATAGATGGATCTGTGTATTGAAAGAGGATTTATATTTGCACTGAGGATGTTAATTTTAGTGATTTTGCTGGTGAGTTTTTTTCCAAATATGGTAGGCAAAGCTCGCACAGTAAAATGCATTATCCATGATCTTCATCCTCCACTTCATAAATATAATAAGCAAGGAGATCTTATCCTTGGTGGTATACCTACCCTTTCTGGCTTGGTCCCAGTGTCAATAGACTTCAGAAAACAACCTCCTGTGGGATTGACTGAAGAAATTCTGTAAGGATTTAAATTTTTGGATATGTTTATTTGGCTTTCTTATGTCCTAGAGGAATCCATTGTAGAGCTCCAAATAAAGTCTGGAGCTAAGTACCATCCCATGTAAGATGTGTCGCTAAAAGATTTATTCATCAAATCTGACTATTTTAACTCAGTCTGCAGACCATGTTTTTAGTGTTAAAGTAATATTGAAGAGGAAAAAAATGAAACACTAAAGGGAACATATTTTAGGACATTTGTGTAACTTGTAACTAAATATTCTTCAGTTTGCTCCTTTCCTCACTTCATTCTGTTGCATCACAGATTCCCATTTTGTCTGTTCTGCTCATCTTGTGACTCTAGTGACTCATTTTTGATTGCATTGAACAATTCATATATCAGCTATTTCTACTATAAATAGTATTGCACAAGCATTATTTTCTCTTCAGTGTCATAGGAGTGTTCCCTATTAACATAGCTGTTAAGTACTGTCATACAGAAATATAATCTATTGATATCCTCTATAAAATTAAGTCTACTTAATTTTCTGAATATTTTAGAATTTCTTAAAAGAATAACAGAGTTGGAAGGGACCTGAAGGTCCTCTAGTCCAACCCCCTGCTCAGGCAGGAAACCCTATACCATTTCAGGCAAATGGTTGTCGGATCTCTTCTTAAAAGCTTCCAGTGCTGGAGCATCCAGAACTTCTGGAAGCAAGTCCTCTGATGATAATTTTGAGTTTATTAATGCCAGACAGCAAAGTTGCTAATAGTCTTTTTTTTTTAGCTGCCTATTTCTCCATTTAGAACTTCCTGGCTGCTCATGTTTTCTTACCGAAAGACACCTTGAAGTGAAGAGTTTCTTCATATCTTCCCTTGGGATTGAATGAAATTATAGAAAGTTAAGAATAAGGCAGACGCTCAGAAGATAAGAAGAAAGATATTCTGCACATAAATACCCCTTAGTGCCATTGTATCTAATGCAGAAATAAAAGCTTCACACAGCCATGACAAAATCTTCCCAGTTTTCTTCCCCTTTGAAGAGCAATATGTTTTCCAGCAACCAAATAGACATTTAAAAAAATAAAACCCACATAATTTTGTAAGAAATTGTCTTTAATGAAAATATGTTATGGTTTTATATGGAATCACTACAAGCTGTAAAGATCTGTTGCTCATGGGAGCACTTCTCCAGATCCCAAGGCTCTACCTAAAGATAACTTATCTTAACCATGCTTATGCTTTCTTTTGATTATGAGGAGATGGTGGTTATAATTGTAATATGATTTCTTTCCTTGCTGCCCCAGGAAAGATAATAATGTTGTAATAATATCCAAATCACACTGACAATCATGGAAACAAGCAATACAAACAACTGAATATACATGGTACATAAAAGATTTTTATGTAAATGCTAGCCATCTTTCTGATATCAAATGCAACTCCTGTTATAGCCTGATACCTAAGAATTACCAGCACATCCTGGCCTTGGTATTTGCAGTAAAGGAGATCAATGAAAATCCACAGATTTTATCCAATTTTACCTTGGGCTTCCATATCTATGACAGCTATGACAATGCCCAGAGGACTTATCAAGCCACCATGCTCCTTCTATCATCAGAAGAGAGGTTGATTCCCAACTATATATGTGACCACCAACACAACCTGATAGCAGTTATTGGGGGTCTTGACTCCATTGTTTCTCGTCTGATAGCAGCTGTTTTGGATATCTATAAAATTCCACAGGTAGGATAATTATCCATGAGAAAGTTGGGAATATATATTTACACATTTTTTGTTTATTTGTATTAAGTTGAAAGCAACAATGCATGATTACCTCTTAACTGATGTTAGAGTTTATGGCATCAACAGAATCACAAAGGATATTATCTGAGGGTTCTTTTTAAGCCTTCTGCTTTTTGCTGTACATAAAGCCTATCATCCAATTCTAACCTATCCAAGGCAAAACACAGAATATGTAAGTATTTTAAAGTTTTTATCCAATGGAATTTGTATCCATTGCATTTTTTGGTTGGCAAGAATTCTACATATTTTGTGTTCTCTAGAATTTGCTTTAAGAAATTCAACAGGATTCATTGTGGTCTGCATAATTCTTACCTAGTGGTACCTATAGTTTCTTCTGTGATTTATGCTATATTTCTAGATCAAATCTTTACTTCTTTCCATGAACCACTTTCTGAATACCACTCAGTATTCAGAAAGATCCTTTTCAATCCATTTTATTTCTTGATAAAGTACCAGCTGAGCCAAGAGCTTGGCTCCACATGTAGCGTGACTTGGCTGCCAGTTGACATAGCTCTGGTTCCTGTTAGAAAGCTCTCCTTCTGTATAATTTTCCAGATCCAAGATCAATAGTTTTAATGATCATACATATGGACCACAATTAGTAGGATACTGCATTTAAGTCTTGCATCAGTTGCAACAATTGATTATTTTGCAGTTCTGTACATAAACTTCATATGCTCTATTTAGTGTCTACCTCAAAGCCCTGTCTGTGAAAAGAATTCATTTTCCCACACTGAATATTCAAGAGAATTAAGGCATTTAAATTGTTAAACTATATCTATATTCTAGATAAATATTGTATCAGCAATTTTTTCTTCTCTACCAAATAATTTGGTAAAGCCCACTTATATCCTACTTTTTTCAGAAACAGAAAACTGTATAATCCATATTTCTATTTTGTTGTTTTCTTCATTAAATTGATCATTTTCAGCCAGGTATACTCTATTTACATATCCAGCCAATGATGTGTACCTTTATCCAGCTTATTTTTAAGAAGAGACTGGACATCCATTATTATTATTATTATTATTATTATTAGTAGTAGTAGTAGTAGTAGTAGTAGTAGTAGTAGTAGTATATTCAAAAGCTTAATATTACCTGGTGATGTTTTCTTTCATAATTTAAAAACTGCTTTTCACTTTCCATCATTCTGTTTTTGATAGGATATTTAGAATTATGTCATTATAATAAATTTAGAAGTATATCTTTATTAAAATGTCAAAATATCAAAATGG